TGAAGGTACAGAAAGCAGCGACAGTAGTTGATATGAAAAGCTCATCAGCTAAGGCGCTGGCTGGGTGATATATAAGAGAGTGGACTGTAAAAAGAAGCCACACTCGGGGGATAGTTTGTGAAGCTAAAAATAGAAATACTTATGGGGAGATTATGTGAAGACTCCATGTCAGACTAGCAGCCAGCATAAAGGATTCGTCTCATGCTGCAACGTACATTCATCCTGCTCCCCATGCCTCTCCGTTCTCGTCACTCCATTCCTGCCTCAATACCAATTTAACCGCCGACACGTTGGCATGAAGTCACAAACTCACACACAGGTTCACTCACATCACGGTGAGAGTGAGTCGGCGGGTGAGGTGTCAGCATCACTTCGGAGACAGCTTGATGACAATCCAGCTGGAGTCACACTTTTAAAGGTCACACACAGATCACACACACACACACACTTTTTCTTTCTCTGTCTCTCGCTCACACACACACACACACACACACACACACACTCGCGGCTACGCTCGCTTTAATTAAAAGCTGCAATCAAGCCGACTTCTGCATGTATTAACACCTCTCGCAGACGTGAGAATGTCGTCATCTCGCCCAAGTTATAAAAGTCTGGAACATCTACGTAACTTCGGCTGGTTGTGAGGATCCTCAAGGAACATCTCAGGAGTGAGAAGAAAAAAAAGAGAAAGATGCTAACGTGTCACTGACCTCATCGAGGAAAAGAAAGCTTCAGTCTACTTTATATTGTTTGCATTTAGATAAAGTGAAATGTTTTATCAGCACAGGAAGATGTTTGCTGATACACAAAACAGCTCTTGAGTTTATTCTTAGAAACAAGGTGAGAACCTCAGAAAACGTTCCTGACTTTACATTTTTTATTTTAATTTGCACCCGACACATAAAGGAGACTCGGCTTCGTTAGAGCAGCCTGATGAATCCACAAACAGCTTCTAATTAACATCATACATTCTGAACTTGTAAAAGAGCAAAAGTTTGAATGATTTCTGTGACAGGGCTTCAAATGTAATGGACAAGTCTGGTAAAACTCCCCAAAGCCCTTCGCCCAAGCCCCAGAGGTTCATACGATCACTGTGCAGACGGCTCACTGGGAGCTATCCTGCCGTTGGGAGTACAAAAAAATGTGCATTAAAAACTATAATGTGCCTATTAAATTAGGATTTTGACTGTGTCCGTTTATTAATTGATATATTCATTTATCTCTTCCCCCTTTTCGGTCACATAAAATGCACTTACAGCTGCTTCTCTGTCATGGTAAAATAAAAAAATAAAAACTCTCACAGCACCGGCACAGGGCAGCACAGGAAGTTAGGGCGGGTCGAACGAAATTAAAATGGAGTGAACCTAATGAACTGACTCCCTGTGGGGGGACTGGACCTCACGGTGGCGCTCCGTGTGGCCTAAAAGGAGGTCATGAGTAATTTATTAAGAGCAATACGGAGGGAACTATGTTTACAAAATGAAAAATTCTGTTGGTTTTAATTTCCAGCTGATTAAATCCATCACTCACAGCTCAGTCAGGAGGGCTGTGGTGTCAGAACACGCACACACGTCGCCATAAAGGCAGCAGAGGACGGTGTCTTACTGGTATGTTGATGGCGGTCCTTCGCCTCCGTAAAGGTTTCTGATGACGGTTTGTACACTCAGTAGTCTTGTTGAGGTTCGTACCAAAGTTAGAAACTCCACCAAAAGGCTGTTAAGTCGTCGTAATTATATCAAAGTTATTAGCAGAACTGTTTGTTTGACTCAGATTTTACTTTGTGCTTTCCCATCTCCTACATCTCCTGTCGATTTTAGAATTAATGCATTACAAATAAAAAAACAACAATAAGAATATTACATCTGTTTTACATATTCTTTAGATTTTCTTACATTTTTTAATGGACAAAAAATGTTTAAAAATGTCTATAATTATCCTGTTACCTCTGCAGCATCATGGAGTCTTAAAACCATGTTTTTATGGTTTAGGCTCTGACATACGAGTTCTTCACTAATCCGTCTAAATCAGCACAAATCCAAAGTCACCTGGAGTCCCATAAAAAGCTCTCGTGCCAACAGGACTCTAATCACTTGATTTGTCAATGTGCACAGTTACTTTTAAGGTAAGACGACGATGAGAAAACAAGCAAATAAATAACAAAAATAAGATAAAGGAACGACGTCACATTGGTGCATCAAAGGAAGCAGATAAAATCCTCTTTGAGGTAAACTGACTGAACATCAATAAGACAGTAAATAAAGAAAGAAACTCATGAATGTAATGAATTAAATGGTGCAAAATATGTGCAACGTAAAAGTGTAGAAGCCTCCACCTGCAGCGAGGGTAAAGAGCTGAGTGGCATGCAGGGACAGGTGCCACCAGGCAGGGACGCCAGCACTCAGGGGCAGGCTGCATGGAGGTGGACGGGGACACAGGGTCCCAAAGAAGAAGGCCCGGGGGGTGATGGGCTTACATGCCTCAGGAGACCTGCATGGAAGCCACGGGCAAAATACCACAGGACGAAGGGGTGAAGGGGCAAACGAAATACAGGCTGTTACTAGCCATGGGTTTGGGGTTTTCTCATGCAACCAAAGCTTGTGTTCTGGGTACGTGTTTTCACGGCAGGTTCCATCTGATGCATTAAAATTCAACTATCCAACTGTTTCCTTGTTGCTCCTCCTGCCGGCATATCGATGCTGTTCTATCGGCCAGGCCTACTAGTGCCCACTGTTTGCTCAACCTAATCACCTCTAAACAATCCACGGTGCTTGTGTTTGAGGATTCAGCCCAGCAGCATCAAAGAGCAGAAGGAAGGAGATACGGCGTGACAGCATTGTCATATCAATTCTCATCCCTACCGAAGACACATCTCACTTAGCCTGAAGTGAACAGATAGCGCCCGTACAAAGCAATTGTACATATAATTGCTAGTCCAAAGTTGCACCTGTCAAATACGGTTAACCGTCTGGGCTTCCATAGACAAGAAAAAGGGAAGGGAATAGATAAGCTCTATTTAGTCGGGAGGTGATGTGCTTTAAATTGCTGTGGCAGCTGTAAAAGAGCTTGTGCTTGCACACTAAAGAAACAGAAAGTGAGATAAAGGAAAGCACCAGGCTGGAGAAAATAATCTTGGCAGAGGTGTGTCGAGGCCATCGCGGCCATCTTTAATTTGAGGAGTGTGACGGTTACCTCAGAAGGATGAAATGTTATCGTGATTGTATGTACACATACAGAAGAAAACTAGACGAGTTTTTCCTTGAAAGCACGTCGTGTGTTGGGGTGTTGAAGGAGTGTAATAACGTAAGGTGAGGACAGACATGCTTGCTTTTCTGAGTGTGTGTGCTTCAGTGTTTCTCTTTAGCTCACATGTGAAGCAGACTTTTCTCAATCGAACATTTCCTGTAATTTTAGGTGCCAAAGCAGTTCAAATGTCCAAACTGTGGAGGCCTGAATGAGAACAGGGGTGTAAAAATGACCAGACATGGTTGCTCAGCTCTCATGACTCACCGTCACGTTACCGGCTGTGTGTGGCGTGCATACATGATGGAGGCTGTGTGTGCTGTGGAAGCTTGGCCTTACTGTGTTGTGGCAGTCAGCATTGATCTGCTGCAGCAGCTGGCTCTCAAATTTCTCCAGAGACGGCTGCAGGGAGATGGTCAGTCTGTTCAGGGTGAAGGGCAGCATCTTGAGCAGCTGAGGCCTCAGCAGAGCATCTCCTGATGACACAGCGAACACAGCGTCAGCATGCAATGCCCTCGTATTAACACGGCTTTCTACAGTCATATTCACAGCTCTGATTGCCTCACTTGTATTCTCGTATGTCTGTTGTGTTGCGGCTACAGCGGAGCAGAAAAACCCATCTAGTGTGAAACAAGTTGAGGAATACATTCCAATATACACTATTTTATGTCTGACCCGCTTCTAAGATGTAGTGATTTTTCCCAATCATCCCCAGAAAAACAGTCATGGCAGAAGTTCGATAAAAGAAAGCCGTCAAGTGGAAACAGTTGTTTTGATGCAGAACCACAGTCATGCTGGTTCTGCTGTGTGGATCCTCTCAGAAAGCAGGGCTGAGTGGTACGGCCACAAAACGTTATTACCACATTTTATTTTTCAGTCTTACACACAATTCAGCACAATTTTCACTACATGAATGCAAATCAATACATGATTCATGGTGACTCATTCTTTGAGACACTTTTTCGGCTGCTCTGTGTTGGAGGGCTTGTCTAGCACACCCTTATCCTCTAAAATACCCCGAAGAGGAGCATCTCGTAGGGATTTCTTTCACTGTGCTTTGGATCATTATCATGCTGGAATATTCCTCTCCTGCCAAGCTTCTGCAGACTGGGAGTCATCTTGTCCGCCAGTGTTTGGATACATCCACAGATACGCATGGTGCCATCTATAAATGTGATCTCCCCACAGCCTTGTCCATTCATGCAGCCCAGCCTATCACACTCCCACCTCCGTGCTTCTCTGTCAGGACTATGCCTTCACTGTGGATGTCCTGACCAGGTTCATGCCAAACATGATGAACCCCATCTGAGCCAAACAAAATCTCATCTATAGCAACTCTTTTGACAACTGACATGGGCGGCTGTGGCTCAGCTGGTTGTCCTCCAATCGCAAGGTTCGATCCCCTCCACAGTCAAAGCGTCCTTAGGCAAGAGGAACTCAAAGTTGCTCCCAATGGCAGGCAGCACCTTGCATGGCAGCTCTGTCACCACTGGTGTCTGAATGTGTGTGAATGGGTGAATGAGTAACACACTGTAAAGTGCTTTGGATTAAAGAAGTGCAGACCACAGTTGTAGAGTAACTTAAGAGTGCATCCAGGCGGGGGTGGCACTGATACCAGATACATCAAGAGGCTGTTTCTACAAATAGAAATATCTTATTTTTTTATACTTAAATCTCTTCTATTTTTCTTTTTTTTGCTCTTTATTTAGTACTTTATTATATATGGCACTGAAGGAGCTGCTCTCAATCTCATTGTACATGTGTATAGTGACAATAAAGGCATTCTATTCTATTGATTGTAGATAATGTTAGTATGAAATCCTACCTTTTAGACTGTAAGCTCAGTTTTTTGAAGCATGCTCTGGCATTGGAGATATTTTGGCCTAAACTTTGGGTATTTTAACAGTTTTCACTGTTGGGTGAGAGGTCTTGGCTGAGATGATTTGTGTGAGAGGAACTGGTCCCAGACAAACAAAACGTTGACAATAAATTGTCTTTGGTAGGAGAACATTCACTGAAAATATGAAAAGATTTGGTTGAATAATTATAGCAGTAGAGCTTCATACTTTTGACCAATTTCTTAGGCGATTTTTGGTCATCTTTGTAAAAAAGAGAAAAAAACAAGCGGGTGACCAACTCCCCCCTGGTTTTTACCAAATTTCCTTGAACGTAGGCTGAATTAGTTTTGGGTGGACCCCTTTAAAGTGACCAAGTTTCATCAAAATCGGTGAGATGGCTTGTGCCGCCTCCGCCTGGTCCTACCGTGGATGCACTCTTTACTGATGGCCAAACAGAGGTCCAGAGGTGGTGTTTGAACTGCTAGCTTTGGAAGGCTTAAGCACAGAAAGTGAAAAAATGCTTCGTAATCACGTAAACTAAAGTGTGAGACCTTATAAAAAATGAAGTTGATTTTTCCATACACAAGATGCCTTCTGTCAATAGATGTTTTTTAATCATATTTTCAACTCAATCATAAAAACATGCATGAACTGAATGAAGAAAAGCAAATGTTCACACTCTCTCTCTTTGACTCTGACTGTAGCACAATAACACAACATCACCACATAGCATTTAAAGAAGGGCTCACTTGACTTGTGCTAAGCTGCCTAATGCCCATCACTGCAATATTTATACCACAGAGAGACACCAGAGCTCGTGTCAAAGCATCGAACAAAAACTGTTTGCGTTCGGACACTTGGCGTAAATTGAATCAGAATCGATTGAAGAAAGCATCTCGGCCAATGGATGTAGCGGGAAAGTCTGTGAAGTCCACAATCAGCCCTTTCAGACACAACAAAGAGAAAATAGCCACTGTGATTGTAATCTCTTCCAGAGTAATGCAGTCATCAAGCGTTTCATTGCAGCCCTTGTCTCTGGAGCACAGAGTTGGACTGTTCTGAATGCGGCGTGAATATCAAGCCGGTGGCTGTGGTCTTAAAAGGCAGCTTAGGTCTCTGCTGCTCACAGCCCCAGAACATGAAGAGGATTAGCCTGCTACCATACCTCCCACTGACTCCCAATGATTATAGCTCTGCACTGTCAGACTTCATTACATTCCCCCTTAGAAACTTGCCTCCTAAGTACTGCAGACATTTCAACTTCTGATGGAAGGAAGTTTCCAAAAAAAGGCCACTATTAAGTCCTATGATGAATGTCCTGCATGTTGCTTTCTGTCAGTGACAGCTGAAGGAAAACGTGATGATTTTCTAATGTAAGGTTGCATCTGAAGTGTTGGGTTGAGCCATGTCACATGGATCCACCTTTAGTTCAGGTGACCTCTTTGTTGAACTGTTATTTGACAGAAGTGTAGGCTACAGCGAAAATACTGGAAATGCAGTTTTATTCTTGAGTACTAAATCTCACACAATACCTTCATAACAGGGTGACTATCTAGGCAGAAGTCATACCAACTAAATTCATGAAGACTCAGTGGTTTAACTGACCAGCTGTGAAAACACACCTCTCACACACGTTTCCATCTTTAGGAAGCTTCATCGAATGGAAGCAAATCAGGTTCATGCGATTTTGAAAGCTGTTGAATTTCTAACTTTGAATTTTGTTGCCATTGAAATTGTGTGTGTGATTTTTTTTTGTCTGAATTTAGCCCATCTAAATTTCAATAAGTCAAAATTTCAGGTGTAAAATTTCGAAGCCGAAGGTGCTCAAATTCAGCGTTCGAAATTCGCCGTAAAAAAAATTTGCCTCGTCCACATGTAGCAGGGTTTCTCACAAAACGAAGATATTTTTCTACGATGTGGCTCGTCATCCACACAAATACGTGCGTAAATGATTCTTTAAAAACCTCCGACCAAACTGAAGATCTACGAATCCTCCGTGTACAGGTGGACAACCTCAGATCTGTGTCGGGGTTGTCTCTGGTCCAGGCCCAGATACCGCTCCACGTACAAGAACACAGGCGAAGGACGGCTGTTTTCTGCCACCTCGCCATTCCACGTCCGAGGCATGTTCTTCGTCAGAGACACCGACGCCGGTTTTGGGTCAGACCAGGACGCACTGCCAGCTGGTGGGAGAACTTTGAGACGGAAATCGTGCTCCCGGAGGAATGGTGTGACAATTTCCATATGTCCGGGTCGTCGCTCCTGTCGGCGGAGTTCTTACATCCTCATGTAGAACATGAATGTGCTGAACAACACACTAATGCGGTTAGGGGTGGATGGATTCTGTTCTGAAAACCAGGTGGTGTGTACGTTAGTTTTTTCTAGACGGAGGGGGCAGGATATTCGGTTTTACAAAAACCCTGCTACGTGTGGACAAGGCCTTTAGACGCAAATGATTGATTCTGGCCGAAGTCGATCCATCACCCAGACAATCAAGTTACGTCTCTGGTCATGTGACGGTTGAAAACAGAGGACGACGGACATCAGCCATGGTGACAACCAGCAGTAACAGCGGCGCTTCGGTGAGTATATTAACCCTTTATTTGCCTTCTGTGGCGTTTGTTTTTTGGGAGTCAGTAGCCGGTAACACAGGACACGTTTCTTAAGAACTGGATTTATTGGATAATATCCGAGAGGACCTTTTAACGACTTGCTTTGGTAACAGTTTTGCTAGCACGGCTAAAGTTGTGCCAGCCTTAAAGGAAAGTTTGTTCTACTAACTGAGTACTGAGGTGCTAAATATGAGTTTATGTCAANTTCTACTAACTGAGTACTGAGGTGCTAAATATGAGTTTATGTCAAGAACAGGAAGAAGGTCACACTGACAGCACGTTCAGCAGGTTTCATTTGCTTCCATGTCATCGCATCCTGATCATTTATCCATGTATTTATAAATCAGTGCAGGGAAGATGAATCTACACCCTCTTTTTAGAGCACATGCTGCTTCGCATTTCTACGATTTGACAAATTCACACCTATTCCCAGCAGCAGCAGCAGCACGTCACCATTACTCTTGCTAACTGAGACGTTCATTCATTGAAGCTCTCCCAGTCATGTAAAGGTTACCTGTTGGAGAAGCTGTGAGACCAGGAATCTCCTCATTTCCAGACACAAGGACATTCTCTGGAAGGAGGTGCATGACAGAAACCAATGTGGGATGGTTTTTTACCACGCAGTCCAAATGTGCTCCATCAATAACCTTCAAGAGACCGCCATCTGCAACGACAGAAATAAAACAGATTCAGGTAGAACACTTCACATGCAATTTATGGTAAACAGGCAAACTCTTCTTCTGAATACAAATGATTACGTATGAGATTGAGCCCCTCCATCATCTCCATCCTACCCAAAGAAACGCTATCCATCCCCACGGTGCTTCACAATCTAATACTTCCCTAGAAGCAGGAGTCACCTGACAGCATGACAGCCAACACACAGACACTTCCATTTTTCAATATTCCATTTGGCTGCTGGTGACCTAGGTGCAATGTTCCATTACACCGCTACCACCATTTTCCAGGGCTAAACCTGAAATGACAACCATTCCACTCGGAAAACACGCTGCTCGTCCAGGAGAGCGCTGCAGCGTAGATGAGGCACGAGGTGTGAGCAATGAGGTGGACGCCGTCATCTTTCAAGCAGGTCATCCAATGACAAGTGACGACCCATAACTCCCGCCATCAACACAAAGCACAGATCATTTGGAGGGTGAATAAAGTGGCGTATGATGTGCTGCGTATGTTGGCTTCGTTCGAGCCTGAACAGCATCACAATCTTTCACTGTGACAGGGTTAATGATTGCACCTTCAACGGCATCAGTGACAATCAATACGCGGGGCTCCATTCGCTGCCATGGGCTGTTTCAACAAGCTGGCACCGAGCAATGTCAAGGTGAGACATGATAGTGGTTTAATAATCACTGTGGTTAAAAAACAGACGGGTATGGCGATGACGATTCAGTCTCCCTTTCTGTGCAAACTGCAGAATATCAGCATGACAACTGAGGAGCATCAGAGGCTACTCACACTGGAAACTGCACCCTAAATGTCATTTAATACGACATCACTGCACTAAATTTGAAGACTTATTTTTTTATGTTATCTAATTATTCCAAATATACTCTAAAAAAAAGTGCCAAGACAGTTAAAGTTTTAATAGCTCGGATGGAGCGGTTCATTTTAATGACATCCCAGTTTTTTATCCATTCCATGAAATCACTTATCTGAGCTTGTCATGTTAATGGGGTCAAATCTTCTCTATGGATCGCTCTCTTTGGCTGCACCCATTCAAAGTGTAACACGTCTACATCACCAGGCGTTGACCACGGATGGTGTCACGGTGTAAAGACTGGCCTGAGCAAAGGGCTTTATATGTCCTTGTTCATGAGCGACAGGAAAATGGAGCGTGAGAGGGAAAGGCAGATCGGGTCAGCATGGCAGCGATGCAGATGTTCTGCTGGACTGTCGTGGTAAAGACGGAGCTGGATGGCAAAGCTCTCGATTAACCACTCGGTTTATGTTCCAGCCCTCATCTGTGGTCATGAGCTGGTTTTTATGAGACGTTATCTGTCCCATTTTCCACTTTGCTGTTTTACAACATCCAGGCGTTAGCACAGGGTCGTGCAGGTTGCTATCTGCCGGGGCTGCAGTCCCGGCTGGTGGTGGCTCACCGTGTAGCATCTCAGACCCAGTAGTTACCTGGATTATACTTTAAAGTTATTAATAATTACTTTAACTGTCCTGTATTTATGGTGCCGACACCCAAAATGCTGAAGGATAAAGTGATGACATTAAATGTCATGTCGGAGTCAGAATCCAAGGCTGTCGCTATGTTAAGGCTGTTTTTATGGGTTCTGTTGGTTTTTCCTAAAAAACTGTCAGATAGCAGGTTTAGGATTGTTAAGGGTCGATTATCCAGTCATGACTGTATTTCCATTGGTTTCTGTAGAAGATGTATCTAGATATATAGACATTATCAGAAATATGTTCTACTCCTAGCTAAGGTCTCCTTCCTGCTCAGGGAGCTTCCATTCTTCTATAACACTCTAAACATACATGCTACCTCCTTGTATAGTCGGAACAACAACACAAACAAGTCATGCAGGTAGTTCCTATACAGTACAAATGATCCTGTAACTAAATAATAATTGCCCTCACAGAGGGATAACTTCACATGAACTCGCTGCAACATGCGCTGGTGCAGCCCAGAGTTTATGACCACAGAGACGGTGTGCTGACCCATCTGTATGCAAACACCCACCGTGTAAACACGAGTCTATGTCCTTTTTTACAGCAGAATACCAAGTAACTGCTACCAGACATCGAAATATGATGATACAGCACTGCAGATCTAAGAAACACTACCCAAGATCCCACAGACTGGAAAAAATGCTGAATGTAAGCCACACAAGAGCATTTTTCCCTCAACAAATTGTATGTATCAGCTTTAAAAACATCAAGGCTTTTTTTTTCTCCTCTGACTGCTTCTAAAACTTTGCTCAGAACAAAAAAAAAACACCCTTTGCTACCTGGGGTATAGAATCCTTTTTTTTTTTTATTCAGACATCGGCCAATCACAGCTTCACAATGAATTCTGATTAAAGAAATACTCAAGTCAGAAAGAGCACTGCTAAATGCATCACTAAAACACAGAATTTATGCTTCTGTGTTATTTTAGGAACCAAGAAAATAAAAGCAGCAAAACAAAAAAGGGAATCATTATCAGATCTGTTGTAAAGCACGACTGGAAAGATTTTATTGTCGACCTATTGTGAATAAATTGCATCTTGGGAACTCGAGGGAGAGTTCTGTGTAAATAAAGTGGTTCTGTTTAGGTCACAGAGAATAACAACTATATGAAAAGCTGATGAGTTCACAGGATGGATGAGAAGAACGTCCGTTTCTGCTGTAGACAGCTTTTCATCCATTTTCGGGGCAGAGCCGGCGCCTTTATCTTTAAAGTCATTGAAAGGGGATTGAGAAGGAAAGAAGATGATGGAGTATATCACTGTGTTCTCCTCCCCTCCCTGCCCGTGACTCATCCCAGTCAAACCCTTTAACTCTCTCGAGCAGTTAGCTTACTACAAAAAAAAAAGTGCTTACGTCTAAAGCCAAGAAAGTAAAACGGTTTGGTGAAATCTCTGAGGTTGCAGCACAGCCTCAGCAGCCTCAGTGGCAGCAGCAGCTAGAAAGGTGTTGCCATGAAACATAGAAAAAAGTAGGATGGGAAGAGAAAGGGGTGGAAGAAAAAAAAAAAAAAGGAAGAAACGTAGAACTTTCTTGACACAGATGGTGCCCAGGTGTCTGCAACTTTTTCATCATTTATTTCTTGTTATTTATTATGCATCGAGCTCCAGGTTCCGTCAGATGCTCTGCATAGATTAGAAAACTACCCCAAAAATTTTCCTTACAGCGCTGGTGTGGTACCTTTGAGTCGGTTGAGCAGCAACTTGGCAAGAGATGTGAAACCGAGGGAGTCGGTGGGGAAAAAAACAAAAATGGCTCAGCATCAGACAAACGGAGGCAGTGGTTTGGGGAGAAGGTTGTGTGGCAAAGAAGAAAGTAATACAGACGAGAGTGAGAGCAGAGCTGGAAGTCGAGCTTATAAGGAGGATCCTGTTGGTGTGCTGCAATATTTGATACCAGAAGTTTATTTTCTGTCGTACAGTCCACCCACTGATCACTTGTTAGTCATTTTTAATAGACTAATAACATTGGTGTCATTTTTTAATAAATTACTGGTTTTGATTGACTGATGGGGAAACAGGCTTTTTATGTCACAAAATCTGTGCAGACTGCATTGTTCTACATTAACTAAGGTTCAAACAGCCTGATGGCCTCTGATGTTGATGAAACTCCGTCCTCCCTGCATGTCTGAGTCATGAAGTTAATTTATTATAGAGCTGAAGAATCGTTTAGAAAGATTCCTGGTAAAGCGTCTTTGAGTGTTTTGAGAAGTATTATGTAAAGTTATTATTCCATCCATCCAGCCATCATCTCTCCACCTTCATCCTCACCAGGGTCATGGGGGGTGGAGCCTATCCCAGCTGACTCAGGGTGAAGGCAGGTTCACCTGGACAGGTAACCAGTCTATCACAGGGCTACACTTAGAGACAGACAACCAAGCACACTCACATTCACACCTACGGACAATTTACAATCACCAATTAACCTCAGCATGTTTCTGGACTGTGGGAGGAAGCCGGAGAACCCGGAGAGAACCCACGCTGCACGGGGAGAACATGGAGACTCCACGCAGAAAGATCCCGGGTGTCCTCACCGGGACGCCAACCGACGACCTTCTAGCTGTGAGGCGACGGTGCTAACCACCGATCCACCTTGCAGCCCTAATATTATTATTATTATTATAAAAATATCCATTAGATATATGAATATTTGTATCACCAATCCCTCACAGTGGGGGGTCGGCGCCTCCAAACAGGGTGGCATCAAAAACCAGCTCCTTCCAACACCTAATACAACAGACAAGTGAGGACAAAATAACACAAACATTGCAAACAATCTTAAATATTCAACAAGTGAAAGCAGGAAGTAGCGCATAAATAAATGATGTGTGTTTCAGGATCATTTGCACGACTGCACGCAGGAAAACACGCCAGACGTGACGAGGAACTATTACGCTGTTTATTATTTTAGAATGAAACGCTCATTTGTCTCATTGAAATCTGGATTTTTCTCAAAATGTAGTTTTAGTCGAACTACAGTCTGGTGTCAGAAGCTGTAACTGAAAGTGTGCCTTAGACGGGTCATCAAGTCACGTCAAGTCTTCTGGCAACCAGGTCTCAAGTAGTAGGTTTGTAGACTCTCCAGCGGACAAGTCAACTTGCAGGTTCTTATTTAGGTTTCATTCATAAGTCTAAACCTCTGATATCTGTCACTATATCAGCCCAGCCACCTTTACTCAACCAGTAACTCAAAGGACAACCCCCGACGATAAACGTGTTGCTTCTTTGCATTAATGTTAAAGAACAATTCTGGAAATGAACTCTGGGGTCTCCATTTCATTGCTTCAATAATAATCTTTTTCCCACTTTTTAACATTACATCCACCAAAGAAAAGCAGCCTAAACATCCATCCTACCGTGCATGTCTTTAGGCTGTGGGAGGACGCCAGAACACCCGGAGAAAACCCACTCAGGCATGCAGAGAACATGCAAAGTCCACTCAGAAAGGCCCTGCCAACCAGCATGTTGCAGT